CCCAAGACTATTACAGAACCGTGGGTTGATGTGAACTAGAGTTAAATAATCGATCACACATGGAACTTTAAGTTGCATGTGTGATAAGCACCACATAGGTTAGTGAAAGAACGTGCCCGCCATACGATGACATCACCAGCGCCACGTCTTGTTAAGTAGGATGTGAAAGAAAGTAGTACGCATGGATTATGAGGATCCTCAGGTGAAAGAAAAGTCAACCCTTGAGAGATCTCATAAGACACATGGTGAAACCCTAGTAGTGCTCCTTAATGACTGACAACAAATCTAATATTCTCTTTCCCAATAGGAACTGAGCACTTTTGGCTCCTTCCTTTTGGGACCTTGGGATCCCTCCTTATAAATGAGGATCCTCCTTTTAATGAAGGCTATTCATTCGGCCATTGATTCACTCAAACATTGGATTCCCTGTTCATCCTAACCAGTCGTCTTATTACTCCCTCTTGACTTAACCTCCCAGTTGATTCCCTATTTCCAGTCTTCCTTTGTCCTTTAAGGAGACCACTCTCACATAGCCTAACCACACCTCACCTACACCAGGAGGTAAGTCCAATCCCTGTTGCACCTATTGATACCCTTGCACCTACTGTAGATGACCTTGACATTCCTATTGCTCAAAGAAAGGGAGTCAGATCATGCACAACCAAACACCCCGTTACCTAGCATGTCTCCTATGTTCACATTTTTCCCTCATACCATGCCTTCCTATCTGTAGTTGATTGCATCCCTGTACCCAAAAATGTTGTAAAGGCCTTAAAATACCCTGAATGGACAAATGCTATGAAGGAGGAGATTAATGCCCTTCATAAAAATCAAACTTGGGAATTGGTGGATCTTCCAAGAGGGAAAGACCCAGTGGGGTGTAAGTCGGTGTTTATAGTTAAACACAGAGCGGATGGGACAATTGAAAGGTACAAAGAAAGATTAGTAGCCAAGGGGCACACTCAAGTGTACAGGGTTGACTATGATTAGACATTTGCTCCAGTAGCTAAGATGAACTTAATTCGAGTTCTTTTATCATTAGCTGCTAACCTTGACTGGGAATTGCATCAATTGGACATAAAGAATGCCTTTTTAAATTGTGACCTAGAGGAGGAGGTGTACATGGTTCAACCCCCTAGAATCTATGCCAAGGGAAGTGAAAATAAGATGTGCAAGCTGAGAAAGTCTCTTTATGGTTTAAAACAATCTCCCAAGGCTTGGTTCAATAAGTTTTATATGAAAGTTCAACAAGTAGGGTTCAAGCAATGTCAGTCTGATCACACACTCTTTGTAAAGAGATGTTGAGAACATGTTGTATTGATAGTGTATGTGGATGATATCATCATTAAAAGAAATTGGAGTTCAGAAATACAAAAGTTCAAACAATTCCTTGCATCTAAATTTGAAGTGAAAGATTTAGGTCCTATAAAGATTTAGGCATCTTCATTTCTCAAAGGAAGTACACCTTTGAACTGTTACAAGACACAAGCAAGTTAGGCGAAGGCCAGCAGATACTCATATGGATGTTGATCATAAATTAGGTGATTGTGATGGTGAACCTTTAAAAGATGTGAAATAGTTCCAAAGGTTAGTGGAAAAGTTGATTTACATCTAGACATTACATATTTAGTTGGGGTCCTAAGCCAATTCAAGCACTCTCCTAAGAAACCACACATGGAGGTAGCAGAGAGAGTCCTTAGATACTTAAAAAAGTATTCGGGGATAGGTCTACCATTCAGTAAACATAATCACCTAAAGGTGGAAGTCTTTATAGATGCTGATTAGGCAGGTGTTGTGGATGACAGAAAGTCCACAAGTGGGTATTGTACATCTGTGGGAGGAAATCCAGTGACCTGGAAAAGCAAGAAACAAAGTGTAGTAGCAAGGCCAAGTGCTGAAGTGGAATATAGAGCTATGGCACATGGCGTAGCTGAAGTTCTTTAGCTAAACAGCCTTCTTGGGGAACTTGGAGTTGATGTTCATAATCCTATGCCTCTTTACTGTGACAACAAGGCAGCCATAAACATAGCCAGCAATCCTATCCTACATGAGAAGACCAAGCACATTGAAGTGGACAAACACTTCATAAGAGAAATATTGGAAAAAAAATGGAATTTGCATCCCATATGTCAACTCCAAGGAACAACTTGTTGATGTCCTCACAAAAGGACTTCCATACTCTCGGCACGAGTTATGTGACAAGCTGGGCATGATAGACATATTCATCCCAACTTGAAGGGGAGTGTTGTGAAGGTTGTTTATTTTGTTATTTTACAGTTGTTGGTAGCATTTTGTTAGCCTAAGATGCTGTCAGCTAGTGTCTTTTATTTCCTTCTTACTTGTTTATTAGTAGGGAATGCCGCTAGGGGCATAACTGTATTTTTCTTATTCTTTATATTAAGTTAATATAAATTATAAGTTGGGTGTCGCCAGCTATAGTTTTTTATTCCCAATTGAATCTCTCTCTCCCTTCTCTTCTCCTCTCCTCTCTCTTTTCTCTCTCGTCTCTCTCTATCAAGGAAAGATTACACTCTTGTCATTGGCTACTTATTCATGGTCACTCTTCCAACCTAATGTCAAAAATTCCCTCCTTATTAGTGATTTGTAAGAGGAAATGTATATGGAACTTCTATCTGGATTTTATGATGATGTGGGTAGGATGGTATACAAATTACAAAAGTCCTTATATGGCTTGAAGAATCACCTAGTGCATGGATTGACATGTTTAGAGGAAAATTAATTCGGTTTTCATATACACAAACTCAACCAGATCATACACTCTTTATGAAGAGGAGAGGATTAGTTATATCAATGTAGATTGTATATGTGGATGATATTGTGGTTACAAGGAATGATCTCAATGAGATTGATGAACTAAAGAAGTCATTATAGTAGGAATTTGAAATTATGGTTCTAGGTAAGATAAAGTATTTTCTAAAGATTGAAATTCGAAGATCCAAACATGGAATATTCATTAGAAGAAGTATGTGTTGAACTTACTATTGATAAGCATCAAAGGATGGTGGGATGACTACTGGATAATACTCCTATTGATTAAAACCACAGTATTAACACTCAGATGGTGAGTTGGTAAAGGATGTGGATAAGCATCAAAGGATGGTGGGATGACTACTGTATTTGTGCATGACCTATCCATATATCTCTTATGTTTTCAGTGTTGGGAGCCAATATATGCATGCTCCTTAGGTTCAGCACTGGGTGGCTATTGATAGGATTTCTGCTTACTTGAAAAAACATCATTGCAAAGAACTATTGTCTGTTGATCATGGGTACTTGAAATTGGAGGCCTATACAAATGCATATTGGGTAGGGTTCCTAGGTGATAGAATATCTACATAAGGAGTTTGGTCAAGTCTATAAGCAGAGTACAAATCTATGGCACATGATGTCTTAGAACTTATTTGTGTTAGGTCCTTGTTAGGTGAGCTTGGGATTGTTACTAAGGAACCTATGACGTTGTACTTTGATAATCAAGTAGCAATCAACATCGTTCATAATCCGGTCCAATATGATAGGACAAAGCATAATGATGTTAATAAGGAACTTTATAAGAGAGGGTAACAGCTGGAAAAGTTTTTATACCATATGTTTCTCCTACCTCAGAGTTGGTTGATGGGGAATTACAAAGAGGAAGGTTGAACATGGCATACACAAGTTACATTCCCAAATTGAGAGGGTGTTGAAAATTCTATTGTTATTTGTTTGCTTAGTTTATTTACTTTGTTTAATTAGCATGTTGGGATTACTATCCTTTAGTTAGAAGTTGTTTAAATAGTAGCTTATTTCCTTTTTATTAGTTGTTAGTAATAACCACCCTGTCAAGGATATATTTGGCATTGTACTCATTCTTTTCTCAAGTATAGAACGATAATGGGAAAGAGCAACCACTATTATTGGCTTCTCTACCCTTTCTTTCTTCTTTCTACTCTTCTTCTCTTCTCTCATAAATTCTCTCCTTTCTATTACTATTATAGTTTTATTTTTTTTCCTTTGGTTCTTACTCCTAGGAATCAAACCTATTCTAGCTATTGCTCTAAAGGTTGATTTTACTAAGTTTGATCTTATTGAGAATCTTGCATTGTGTATCTCGAACAAATGATTACGTCAAAAACAAAAAAAAAAAAGATATGACACTTGGACCAAGGACTTGATGCTTCTTTCCTCCTTGATGAGTTTTCATAGCACCAATCTTGTTGTACTAGTCCAAAATCTTCTTAGCACTTATAGTTTGTTCATTTTTTGAGTTCTTTGGAGTAATCCTCAATTTTGGAGATAGTGGTGATGATATTGATGAAGTTTAACTCATTCAACTAAATCAAGCAATGCTTCCACTTTTTCTTTAGTAAGATGCCTCTAACAAATTTATCAAGGCTCTAATCCAACCTTGTGAGGTTGGATATAATCATGAGGCTGGGTCATCAGAGACATGTAGATGCATTTAAATCCCGCTTGTTCCGTGCTCTAGATGCTGCTTCGCAAGATTTTCCTATTGGCTTAGTTTGAAAAGAGTACAAATACAAATATATACAGTGCAAATACATATAAATTAATACAAAATGCAAGGTTTTACACTCTACAAATTTGTATTTGTACTCCTTCCAATCTGAGACTAATGAGTTCTGCTTGGCTTCATGAAATCATGTTAATTACTTTGTGCTTTAGTTACACTCGGCTAGGCAGCATCACTCTATCATGAGTCCTACGAGTACAAGGCTATTATCTTGCTCTGCTAATATCATTGTGAGGTCTCAGTTTTGTCATCTAACATCTGCCTCAGCATATGTTAATTACTTTGCTCTGGTTCGCTATCACGTTTATGATTCCAATTTATTGGCCAATTGTTTTTCCGATATCATATCTTTTCCATATGATAGTCGAACCCTTTTTTTACCTTTTAACCTTCAAATATGCATCCATTGTCTTACAAAAAGAAAAATCTTTAACAGCTTTTTCTTTGATAAAATTTTAATAGCTTTTGAGGATAACTTGAAATTTATTGCCAAAGAGATAATCAAATATGGTGTATCTTCACACAGAACACATTCTTTAGCATCAACACTTATTATTTTTCACAAGCCAAACTTTGATGTCTCACTCCTTCAAAGTATAAAAAAGCCAAGAAAAGAAGATGACTAGCTAGTTTTGGAGCTGTAAAATGTGTCTTTCTCTTTGAGGGCTTTCAATACTATCCTTATTGTTTCTGATTCTTGTAGGAAGATTGAAGTTGAGTACTCTTTGAGGCTGTTTGACTCTAAAGCAGCCTTTGCAGCACGGGCAATGGCCACATCTTTGTTGGAGCAGCGTTTCCCACTTTCAAACGGTGGAAAGCCATTCACTCTAACACGAACTATGCCTCTCTTTTCCCACACACTGTAATCATAATAGGGTTCCTTCCATCCCATCCGCTCACAAAGCTCCTTAAGCATTGTCTTTGGATCCCTTCGTACTTTGTCTGGATTGATCAGTGGCTTCAGAAGCTTCACAAACACCTGCCAAACTTAGCAAATGAAATGAGAACCAAACAATTGTTAGGTTTTCCTTTTTGTGTTTCATAAAATATTCGATCGCCCGTTCGATTTTCTTAGGCTCAGTTCGGAAAGAGTATAAATACAAATTTATAGAGTGCAAAATCTTGTATTTTATATATATTTTATATATTTGTATTTATATTCTTTCCAAACTGAGCCTTAGGCTGTGCTTGGTTACAGTGCAATTTTATTTGCACTAGTACAAATGCATGGGAGTGCAAATGAAAAAAATGCAAATTCTCATTAAATTTTGTTTTGGGTTTTTCTTTACTCTGTTTCATGTCTTGATTTGATTCATTTATAATGCAATCAAATAAAATAAGTTAAAATTTGAAACAAAAATAGGTCAGAATTTACACTCTTGCACTGCCACAATTTTGCATCAGTATAAATTTATTTAAATTGAAACCAAATATCTGTGGATTAGGTTAAATGGTAAATCCGCCTTGACCCAATCCTATTGAATCTCTGGATCAGGTTGAGGCTAGTCATTAGGTCGGCTCGGGCTAAGGCTGTTCCACACCAAAGCTCCGATTGCCTAACCTGAAAATTTTGAAAAATTAACAAATCCCACTTGACCCAAGCTGCAACTTATAGGCCCTATAAATAATGGAAGTGATGGTAATAAAACAAATATATATTACCAAAATGCACTCAATAGTAAAAATTAGTTTTGCCTCCAAAAGTTTAATTCTAAAATCAATAACACTACCCCCATTTATAAACAATAAATACAATCTTATTAACTCAAATTATTTTATTTTATTTTATTTATTGAACCAGTTCTCAATTGATCATTCTCACCTTCACATTATTGAAGAAAAAAAAATGTTTGCTCAGAAAGTATAAATCAGGGCATTTTTATCCACGTAGAAAACAAGAAGATGCCTAAAATATGTTTTGAAAAAGCTATAAATGTTATTAGAACGCCTTGCATCTTTAAAGCTTATGCCATATTAGTGGGGGATCAGAATTAGGGATGGCAATTTTATCCACAAAACCGGTCCCCGATCCAATCTACCCCGAATAGGGTGGATTTTTCCCAATTACAAATGTATACGGGTCGGGTTCGGGGATTTTTCTTTTGCCCCAGACCAGGAACGGGGGGATGGGGTCTGCTTATAAATCCTCGAACCCGCCCCGACCCCAGTTGTGAATCATAAAAATACCCTTAGGTTAGGACGGTTTTGAGAATTTGTGTCTTTTGAGTTTTGAGTTTTGACTTTTGACGTTTTGCCTTGTTGCCTGTTTCTCTTCACAGTGATTACTGATTCACTCTTCGTCTTCCTTCGACCTTCTCACATACAGAGACTTTGCCTGCCAACCGGAGAGAAGAGGAACCACCGAGCGCCACCACCGCCATATCACAGAGGAACTGCCGACCGCGGGGCGCCGCAGTGATTCACTCTTTGTCCTCGAGACTTCCCAGTCTTCCTTCAATCTTCACAGTGAATCAGTGATTCACTCTTCGTTCTTCCTCTCTCCGTTCGTCCACTGACCGTTGGGCGCCGCCACCGCCATGGCAGAGCCCGAATTGTACATAGAGTTTTCATGGATCTCGGTATCCCGTGGATCATCTATCAGATTACAGAGCCCGAGTCGCCTTTGTGGGCTTCGGTGTTATTAGATACTATTTCTGTCGTTTCTGTCATTTCTCCTATAATCTGTAAAGCCAAGCTGCTTTAGAAGATCGAAGAAAACCATATAAGTTGTAAAACTCCACAAATTCTTGTAACTTGCAAGTTTGAAGAAAAAGAAAAGGATGAAAGTAAAAGGCGATGAAGCCCAGAAGAGGAGAGAAGTTTTCTCTAGTTAAGTTTCCACATGGGGGCGGGGATACGTAAGGGATTACCCTTCCCCAAGTTCAATGGTTGCGAGGTGGGGACATGTGGAGGATTCCCCGATGGGGCCACGGGTGGGGTTGAATCTTTACCCTGAGGGGATGGGGCGAGGACAGGTTAGGGGATTTTAGCCACGGGATGGAGAGGGGTGCCTGGCCCCATACCTGCTCCGTTGTCATTCCTAATTTAATAAGTAATTTGGGTAAATTATTGAAACCTCTCCTGACCTTGTATTTTGGCTCTAGTGACAATTTAGTCCCCTAACTTTAAATTCCACAATCCACTACCTGTTGTTAACGGACTTTCATTATATTAATTTTTCTCTGCGATTGGGAACTATTGTTTACTGCTCTAACATTCCGAAGACGTCAGTTCTCCCTACCGGTGCTGATAAACAAAATACGATTCCAGAAAAGCTGAAATCAATGAGAAAACATCCCAAAGAGCATCATAAGAAGATATTCTCCATTTATATGGGAAAATATCGCCGGAACATATTGCATTTGCTGCCATTAGAAGTTTTTTTAATCCTACCTTCGTCGGAGAAGATGAACGCCAGTTGTCCACGCCGAAGAAGACAAACAAGGTTTTTTTTTTTTTTTTGCTATTTTGTTTCTATCATTTTTCTATGTAACTTATTACAGGGGTGAAGGTTGACGGAGGATGGTCAATGGTCCCTGGTCAAGCATTGACCATCCTTCATCAACCGTCCAACGTCAGTTCGTCGACGTCCTAGGGGATAATCAACAAGTGAGTGTTGAATTGGATCCTTTAGAATTTCCTTCTTTCGATAAATCTGAAGATGAAGATGAAGAAGACAAGGAAGAGGATGGAAGAGCTGGCTTTGTTTAAGAGCAACTAGGAGGAAGAGATGAGTGAGGAATTGTGGCAAACTCAGGTTTTGAGGAGATCTATTAGATGCGAAGAACATAAAATGATAGGTCATGCTTAAGAGATTTCTCCTCCTATTCTTTGAATAAATATATAATAATAGTAATAATAGTATCAGAGGATGAGAGGATGTATTGGGTTTCTGGTCAAGTTGTTTAACCAGGCAGGCAAATAGGTTGACTTGAGAGTTAAATTTATGGTAAAAAAAAGTATTTTAATAATTTCAGTGTAAAGAATTAGAAGTTAATTCCTGACCAATGACCATTGACCATCCTCTGTCAACCGTCAGGCGGTAGTCCGTCCCTCCGCATGAGTGATGGCAAGAACTTAACGTAAAAAAGGCAACAAGGAGCCCTCTGACGTAGCATTAAAAAGAAAAAAAGGGTGAGACGGTTCAGCCTAGGGTCAGAATTTATAGGTCAAAATTATAATTGGGGTAGGTGCCAGTTCGGAATTGATGCCAATTCATAGGCGGGGCATTGGTGTATAGAGTGGGGGGTTTTTGACATTTTGAAAGTTGATAGCTCTGCGGTAGAATTCAGAAATCTGCATTGGAACTGTCCGTACTTTTCCGAAAAAAATGCTTGGGGTGATGGCAAAAACTTACCGTAATATTATCACAAAGCAGTTTTAAATTGAGGCTAAGGCAACAGGGAGCCCTCCACGTGCTTAGCAATGAAGATCAGAGATCCTCGTTCTTCATCTTCCAACCTAGGATTGAATAGGAAAGAGTCTTTTTCCCTTCTTTTATTTGTTTAAAGAGAAAGGGCAAAATCATCCAAAAACTATCAATAAGGATAATTTTGGCATTTCTAATTATTTAATCCACACATGGTGTCATATGATAGCATTGGTTGACAGTCGTTAACAATAGATACCAGATTGTCATGTTTCAAAAGTTTGGGTACTGGATTGTTGCATTTTAAAGTTCAATGACCAAATTGTCAATAGAGCCAAAGTACAGGTACTGATAAGGAATTTTTCCAAAGAGAGGGAATTGAAAGTTGCAGCTTTACCTTTAAGCAATTGATATAAAGGGAAAGTTTGAAAATAAATGTTTTTATCAAAATAACTATATGGATATTTTAAACATTTTCATGCCTCTTTTTAGAGGATTCTAACAGAATTGGTCTACTTACAACTATGTAGGAAAGTTCAGGGGATGTAATTGCAATTACCAAACTTCATAGGAGGTTTCAGATATAACCAAAAACTTCAGGGGAGGTTTGAGAAATTTACCCTAAAGTTGTATTTGGTTTGAAGGAAAAAGTAGGGGTAAAAAAGGGAAAAGGTAGAAAAACCTTTACAAACCTTACCAGTACCAAAGGCATAAGTAATTTCCCCTTCTAGTTTAAGAAAAGAGATCATGAGGGTTTGGCATAGTAATTCATATATAGAGAAAATTTGGAAAATAAATACTTTTTATCAAAATAACTATATGGGTATTTTAAACATTTTCATGCCTCTTTCTAGAGGATTCTAACAAAATGGATCTACTTACAACCATATAAGAAAATTCAAGGGAGATGATTGCAATTACCAAACTTCAATGGAGGTTTGAGAAATTTACCCTAAAGCTACATTTGGTTTGAAGGAAAAAGTAGGGAAAAGAAGGGTTTCCCTACCTTGTATAGGTTCAGCAACTATGTAGGTAAACCAGAGGGGAGATCCTAGTACACGACCAAAACCCTACCAGAGGTATAAGTAATTTCCCCTTCTAGGTAGCAGGATTGATATAATATATCTAATTCCATGCTAAGCCTGTAGCTTTTCTATGAACACCCCATTGCATGGGAATAATCTATGTCACATTAAATGGACTAATATCCAATAAATAAGTGGTGTCTTAATACATCCAATCATATTTATAATTAGGGCTTTAATCAAATTGCATTGGGATCCAACCACACCCAAATCCGGTTTAATTATTGAAAATCTATATATGTTCAAGTCCAATCAAATCTAGGGACCTCTAATTAAATTCAAATTTGTTTTATTAATTTTAAAATAAGGATATACTTGAAGAAGTTAATTAAAAAACCAATTATTTTTTAACTTATATAACAAATTTAAATAAATATGAAATATTGAAATTATTAGTTATAAATTTTTCATAAGAATAGACTCGATTTGGAATGAATACAAATAGAAATATATAAAATGCAAAACCTTGTATTTTGTATTATTTTGATGTATTTATATTGTACATATTTGTATTTAAATTCCTTCCAAGCTGAGCCTTAGGAGCTCATTTACAGCCCTCTGTTTAAATATGTAATGATCTGATCCCACTAACCCTGACATAATAAAATTGTTTCTCATCACTCCTTGTGCCCATTATCTAATTAATTATCTTAATTTATGAAATTATATTGCTCGAAACATAGGCAATTTGATACAGTGAGTGAGACAAACCTTCCATGCTTTCTCGAGAGAGTAGTCACTATCCAGGAAAACAGCTCCAATAAGCGATTCAACGAGATCTGCAAGAACCTTTAGTTCACTGACAAGCCCCCTCCATTGATCACGCTCCGGATTATCACGAAGTTCTCGTTTGAATTCTTTGAACTGATGTCACAAGAGGAAGAAATAACGGGGTTTAATAATCTCATACTGCAAGAGTTGCAGCAGTATTGAAGATCAATTTCTTTCATTTTTTTTGTGTTAATTGTCTTCATCAGAACATTTCCAAGCTCTTCGTTTCATACTGACAGATAGTTCTATTTTATGAGTTATTGTAGATAGTGATGCAAATCTATCTATCTATCTATCTATCTATCTATCTATCTATCTATCTATATATATATATATATATATATATATATATATCATTAGAAACTTCATGGGTTTTATTGTTTCTCATCAAATCCATATTTATTCTCTAATAAAATCATTCTTAAATCTCTCTCTTTCTCTCTTTTTCTCTTTAACCTTAATAGTCAATATTTCTAACATCTCCCATCTCCATTAAATCTTTATTTTCCTCTTTGTATTATATATATAGACAGTGAAATTAGATGGATTGGGTTAGGTGATGGATCAACTTAAATAAGAACCTTAACTTGGACCCAAATTAATGTCAAAACCCCCAAATTGGCTCACTAGTATATGGGGTGAACCAATCTAAACAAATCATTGCTCCTTTCCTTGGGTTGTCAGGTTTTTCCTTTGTTTTTTTCTTTTTTTATTTTTTTGGTGAATAGGTTTTTCTTTTGTTTTGTTCATTGGGTTCAAGTTTTTTTTTTGTTTTTATTAATTTAATTTAATGTAAATTCATTTCATGAATTGTTCTGGTTCAAATAAATAGAAAATATAAAATACTTTGGTGAATCATTATTATTTCATTTATCTCCCTTAAAAAGTATATTTTTTATTTTTAAGCAACTTCCCGTGCATCGCACAGGTCACCGCTAATATAGAGAGAAAGGAAAAATTGTAAACAGTGATGCAAATATACATGAGAGTGCATAACTCTTAGGAGGATTTTTTATTTTCTTAGAGAGAGAGAGAGAGGGGGGCATATGAAAGGGAGGGGAGGGTAGTGAAGCTGTGAAGGTACTGGGTAGATCCCACCTCGTACGGGAGTTGCTCGGTCGCAGAACAACCCCAAGACCCTCCAATGATTTTTGAAAACGCAGTGCTTGGTTTAGAAAACAAAATGTTTTAGTGACATTTTCATTTGTGACAAATACCTATGGTTTTCATTTTTTACTATAAATTTTCATTTGTGACAAATACCTATGGTTTTTAAAACTGGACCGGACCGGAAAAACTGGGAACCGGTCACCTGACTAGTTCCGTTTTCCCCCAAACCTATTTTTTCCCCTAAAACCGTTGATTTTGGTCAGCAAATCGTTAAACTGGTCAGTTAACTATTTGAACAATTTTGTCCATTTTTTAAATTTTTTTGTTAAAACGGGCCAGTCATTCAGGTCGAACAGTCGGACCGTTCGAACCGGTAACTGGACCCCTGACCGGCTCGATCACCGGTTCGTTTTTAAAAACCATGCAAACACCTGTCCTAAATTTTTGTTTGCGACAAACACCCATCATGAATTTTCAGATTCCAGCCCTTTGCCCCCCATCGTTAGTACTTCTTTGGTTAATTTCATAAAATATTCTTATATGATATGTGTATGTTTAAATATTTCTAAAACCCCAAATTGATATTGAGATTATTTTATAGAAAATTGATAAAATACTAAAAAAACAAAAAATAAATAAAGGAAATTTAAAATTTTGTAAAATATAGGAAATACAAAAAAAGAGGAAAATAAAACTAAAAACAAAAAAAAATCAGAAAACACAACAAAGAAAAGTGGAAAATACATAATACACTGAAATTACAAAAACAAAAAAAAAAAGACAATAAAAGGGAAATTGAAAAATAAAGAAAAATACAGAAAATTGTACACAAAGAAAAAGATGAAGATAAAGAAAAATAAATGGAAAGTCTATGATGCTAAAAAGACATGGTACTAGAAGAATTTTGACCAATCAAAACACACCCATTAATACTGATAAATTCTACCAGATAAGTTAATATGATACCAGTTGATTGATCACAAATTTTTTGGATCATGTCTTTCTAGCTAGTATCATAGTCAAACCCTAGAAAAACACAAAAGAATATAGAACTTTAATTGGGCATTTTCATAATTTTATCTTACCACTAAGCCCATTAACAAGAAAGGTGGGGGCAAAATGTGGCTCCTACTTTATATAGCTTCCCTGCCTTTCCCTTCTTTTCTCTGCCTTTCCTTTCTTTTCCCTTCCCTTTCCTTCAAACCAAACACAGCCTAGAGGTAACACGGTAAATGGATCAGATGGAATCAGACATACCAAGATTCAAATTTGGTTTGTTAATATTTGAATTCAAATCAAATATTATCCATCAGATTTGGATACAATCAAATACGATAGGGGTAGATCCATATTCCATCCTATTACGAATGGATCAAAATCATATCATCCTTAACCTTTTTTTAAGACTTACACACAAACCAAAGACAATAATGGGAAATATGTATGCCTGAGACCACACATTTCTTGTATAATATGCCATGGTAAATATCTTATTTAACTTTAAGGGTAAATTGTAGAAACCTCCCATGAAGTTTTTAACTGTTGTCAAAACCTCCCCTGAAGTTTAGTAATTGTAATCACCTCCCTTGTACTTTATAACGCAGGTGTAAATAGGAGGTGTCAACAGTATTCAACACAATCAAATTGAATTCGGATATGACCTTATTTGATTTGATAAATATCTGAATTCGATTGATTATTTAATTCTTATACGTATATATTTTTATATTTTTATATAAAAAAATATTTATTTTATATATTTATTAATTATCTAAAATAATTAATCAGTCGAATTTGAATAGAATCGAATATTCAAATATATAATTGAATTTGAATTCAAACATTGATGTTTTCTAATTGGATTTGAATTTGGATATTACTTTATTTTATTCAAATTCAATCCATTTACACCCCTAATTGCAAATAGACCCCTACTGAAAGAATCTTCTAATAAAAGGCACAAAATGACCAAAATACCCATGCAGTTACTATCGAGATTGGTTTCTACAGAAAAAACAATACAAACTTTATGAAAAAAAAAAGAGAATTTAGAGATATAGATATACCTTTGGGTGATTGATATGAAAGTCAAATTTGAAAAGCAAATCAATTTTAGAAAAGAAATTTAAAGAGTTTGAAGTAGCGATTCATATGAAGAGAAGATTTTGAAAATAAACATTTTTGGTCAAAAGTAAGTAACCCATAGGTATTTTGACATTTTCATGCCTCTTTAGACGATTGGAACTTGCAATTATATCAGAAACTTCAAGGGAGGTTATTGCAATTACCAAACGTGGGAAAATTTCAGCCACAAGCAGAAACTTCGGGGTGGTATCATCAATTAACCATTTAGTTCAGCCATTTCAGCTGTTATCAAAAGCCCCTTGATGACTTAAAAGATAAAGCAATAGATCATCCAATTCAGCCGTCAAATGGCCACTTGGATATAAGACACGGATAGATAAGAGTTGAAATCCATACCCAGTTGAATCCAAAAGGTAGTTCAGGTTCAGAAAAACAAACGCAAACAAAATAAAAGAAAGATCAAAAGATCGAGATATTTACTCTGCTATGGAATTTCTTTTCGTTGTGAATCAGGTATTTGTTCAGGTCATGAAAGATGCAGACGCACGCCAACTTCTCGTTGTCAACGATATCCTTCCGTAGGAGTGTGAGTTGGCCTTGATTGAGCTCCCTCCCTCCGTCGGACTCCACAAGCACGGTAGCAATCAAACAACTGATGACTGCATCTCCGAGGAACTCCAGCCGGTGGTAATTCAGGCTTCGGTTAGAGGACCCATGGGTTCTTGCCTCGTCCAGGAGATCTGGGTTCTTGAATGTGTATCCGATGAGCTTCTGTATCTCGCTGCGTGCAGATGAACATTTATTTTTGCCCATTTCTTCTTTTTCTTTGGAGATTCAGAGGTGAGACCCAGGAATTGGTTTCTGCAGAGGATTTGCTCTGAGAAGCTCCTCCTCCGCTAGCTTTTCCACCATCGGCGAAAGTTGGAGAGAGCAGAAAGGCTCTCTGGTGGTTGTAAGGCAGCTATAAAGGTTGGCCGAGGATCCACAAAAGAAAGTGTGGAATAACGGCAAGTGAAATCTTTAATACAAGGCATGAGATTCCTCTCAAAGGAAAGATAGACAACGGAGGGAAAACTCTTATCTCTATTCGCTGTGTTTACATGTATACTGGTGATGGATTGTCTGCGTTTAAACTCAAAAGGAGTTGTTCCTTTGAGTCCAACCGAATATTGCCACGTTAAAAGCTCACAACGGTAACCCGTTCTATTTATAAATTAACCTTTATTCTTTGAAGTCTCCTTTCCAAAGCAAAAGACATAAAGGGTTTCTGTCGGCATGACAACCCCTGTTAGCGACTCCCACTGTTGAGCAATCAATGGTTATCTACTGTGGCAAATGGGCATTCGAACCATTGTTTTAAAAACCGTCCCGGAATTAGAACCGTTTTGGCCACCGATTTCTGGGTTAACATTTTGATTGCCCGGTGCGAATGGATAGATCATTTTAACAATAAAATTAAAAAATAATTAAAATAAAAAACGATCAAAACCGTTGAACGGGTCAAATGGGTTGACGGTTCAATTATTCGAATGAGCAAGTCATTAACCAATTCAATGGTTTTTTGTCAGAGACCGAGTTTGGGGTAAAATGAAACCGGTTACCTAGACGTTTTGTGGGCCAAATGGTTCAACTGTCTAAATCAATGGTGGTTCAAAAACATTGATTCGAATAACTAGATACGGGAATGTGAATTTAACTTGCATCGGTTTTAATGTGCATACCAAAGGGAGGAAATTCTGCTTTAATTTTGCTTCACATTTGACTTTGTTTTATTTGTTTATAACAAGCATAATAGGAAGTAAAATGATGTAATCTCCAAATTATATGAAAGAGTTTCTAAAAAAATTACATGAAAAGAGAAATAAGTCCAGAGGAAGGTTACTTATTCAAGGGGAGTAAGGTAGTAAGCAAATTCAAGTGGTCCCAAAATTGGCATTGTAAAAATAGAAACAAAAAGGCTTTGTTCAAAATATCGATATATCCATGTGTATCAGCAGGGATGTATCGGTACTTAAAATAATACATTTTTATGTTTTTTTAGTTTTTTTTTTTCAAAACTTGGTTTTTAGACCTATTTTTAATCATATTTTTCATTAAAAAGAAGCCAATTCTTGAAACACCAATAAATAAATGTATCGATAAAGCCATCAATATGATACGATACACCCAATACAGGGCATGTCATATTGAAATTTTGAACATTGTCCAAGTCAGATGGAAGAATCCATCTAAGGGTGAAGGTTAATTTTGAAACAAAGAAATTAAGGACAGGCATGGGCAGTGTGTGATTGGAGTGATTGCAAGACAGAATGATGGTAGGGTTTCATTCCTCTGAATAAGGATGTTTGGCTTGTGTTCAATCAACAAGATAGAAGCATGGGTGGTGGTCCTCCAAGTTCAAGCCTTCAACGGAATTCCAGTAGTTATCATCAATGGCTTGAGAGTAATTGAAGACCATTCTTAGAATATTAAAACTATTCTTGAAGAATATTCTATAGTTTGTCAAAACTTTAGTTTAATTACATCCCAGTGTATGTATTTTGAGAGGACAATAACTTGGCAGACTAGTTGGGTAATTTGGAACATAGTAGGGCTATCGCTTGTACTAATCTTTCAAGTTGTCATTTCAATTAATTATCTTTGATTTTGTGATGTTTGTGGTAGGGCCATAGGGCTACCATCACCTCGTTGTGTGTAGTATTTGCTTTATTACAAAGAAAAGAATCATGTGGTCTCCACTTTCCACTTTCCATGAGAAAGAATAGTAGGAGAAAGTTGGAAATGTTGATCCTATGTGTTTTGATTATAAAAATTCAGTGAGAGTATTTGATAGATTCGATAGCCTTAGGCAAGAAGGGGTGGATTGGATATAGTTTAAAACTTTATATAGTTCAAATTTAAATACCTTTCCTATAAATTTGAAGACAAGCCTTCGATACAAATTGTAGTGGAACAAAGGCTTAGTCAGATTATTTAACAGTGGACACAAGTGAATAATCAATATGAGCAACTCACTGTTGAAGTATGTAACTACAAACAAATAAACAATGTAATCATAATAGCTACAGGGATTAGCACTTAAATAAAGATAAAAACAATATTCAAATGTAAATGCTGAAAATATAAAGTAGCTGAAATAAATGAAACAATAATGTAAAGTAAATGTTGAGGATTCTTAGTGGATTTTGCATTTAAATAAAAGAATGATCAAGTAATAAGTTCAATATAATTGAAGAAATGTAAAGGTAGATGAAATGTAAAATGGCAGCTGCATAAGATATGTGTGCCAAAGTTGCAACTAGAGATTAAGGATCACCCACAAGTAAACAACTAAGAGGACCAACTACAAGAGAATACTCAACTTGAGAGCCAAGTATTTTAAAAACCAGTATTGAACCTCAATGACAAATTAACTGCTAAAATGTAAATAATTCAATTAAACAATAAATGAAGCAATAAATACAACAACTTAGTAACTGCATATCTTGTAGATCAAGAGAAAATAAAGAAAATAATAGGAAATGACTGCAAGATAACTGAATGTTCACACTTTTAGCATTTAGCTAAAGAAGTTAGGGATGTTAGTAGCAAAGCAACTATAGAAACTTGAAAAAAAAAATGACAAGAAAGCACAAAGAAAAGGCACACAACAAACAAGTTGGTTTGTTAGGACAAGAAAGCACCATCCTATACCTCAGACATCCTTTAAGGATTTCCAATAACAAACTAGTTGGACTTCTAGGCACCAACAAAGCCTTATAATTAGCAGGACTTTCGAGTGCCTGCAATACTTTGGCAGAACTTACTAATGCTTGCCCAACCTAACCTAGCAGAACTTACAAGTGTTTATGTAAACCTAACCTAGTAAAGCTTTTGTCTATCTACCAAACCTTGAATGGTCCTCAAATTAGAATACCTACATGCACTCAAAGATATTACCTATATAGCACAAAGAAACAAGATATAAATGCCTCCAAAATAGGCAAATAAAACAATACAAGCTTAAACTACTTAGTTGCAATAGTATATAATCTCAAGATACCCAACTCTAAGAAGAGACTCTCAATAGGTAGGTAAGACTGTATGAGCTCAAAGGCTTCTTAGTTTTTCTCACATCTAAAAACTATTAAAGCTCAAAAATCTTTTTTAAAAGAAAAATACTCTTGCTAACTTGCTCTCAAAAACAACTAAAGATAATTCACACTAATATCACAACTTGTTCTTGCTTGAATGATTTTTATTGTTTTAAATCAAAATAAACACATTTATTTATAGAGGTTTTGCGAGCAAGCAACCATTTTCTAGCCATTATAGGGGCTTCTCATACTTAGTAAACATTTAAAATGTCTCAAACATAATAGAAGGCTTACCAAAGATAGAAATAATTGTTTAAGCCTTCAAACAATAAAATTCACTAAGTAATCGACTACTAAAATCTAGTAGTGTTATCTACTGGATGAAGGGGGAATATGTGTTCTAACTCAGCCTGTTAGAGTAAGTTGACTATATTATTTTAGGTAATGGACTACTCTTTATAGTGTGTCCATTTTATGTCTCAACTATCACAGGTAGTCAACTATATTTCACAAATTAACATTTTCATGCCTCGGTTGTCATAAATAGTTAATTATGCCTTTTAGGGTAATTTACTATATCACACAGCCAACCACTTTCAACTTTTGCTATTAAGGTTAGTTGGCTATATGATTTTGATTAGTCTGTTAATGACAATCCAACACTTAGAAACCTTAGAAATATTTGTCCAATGGTTTGGGGATTCTTTCCATGACTTTCAATAATGATTTTCAAGTATGTGAAACCATTTTTAAGTTTAAGAAATCCTATATGCCATACCAATTGTAACCATTGGTCTTTAAGTTTGACTAAACCGAATTAGGTCTTGTTGAGAATCATTAGTCTCTTCCTTGGTGACTTGTTGTACCAATGAATTTCTTAAACAGCTCCAAAGCCTTTGAATTGATGTTGTAACCTCTCTACGCTTGAAATTATTTAGAGCATCCTTGTTGGACATATAGTGGTTGGTGTTGGAGATGTGAAGCTCAAGCTACTAAATCAAGCAATGCTTTAACTTCTTTGTCTTCATAAACAAGTTTGCTTTAACACAACTTTAGCTCAAAGAAGCGTACTTAAGTTAGATACATACTTAATACATCATTAGTACTACTAATGAGTTTGTTATCATCAAAACATATAGGGTCAATGGTACTAACATTTGAAAAGATAAGTGTACAACTATATCAAGTATTTCCTCCAAATGAACTAAAGAGAATTGTTGAGATCACTAATGATCAAAGGCAAAGAAGAGTAGTTGTATCAAATGGTGGAACAAACATTCTCCAAGCTACCTTGAAGAAGAAGAAGATATCAAGTTCCAAAGATTACAAATTGTTTTCATTTATTTAGGGCTTGATGTTATCATATGCAAGATGCATAATATGGGCTTAACTAACCTAATTCGATATATCCAAAAACTTATAGACCAATGGTTATAGCTAGGCTTTCCCTAAATTTTTTAAGTTTTAACTATGAAATTTCTTTGTGGATATGCCTGAGAAGTCAACTTCTAAACCTTAGAAGTCATTTGCATAAAGTTTCTAAGGTTGGACATAGCCATTAGTCGGCTGCCCATAAGGCAATAGTCGACTACCCATGACAACCAAGACAGGTGTTGTCGAGTAGTTGACTACCGATGAAGTAATAGTTGACTATCTATGAGAGTTAAGCTTGGTGTCGCATTGACCTTGGTTAATAGTTTACTAATGAAGTAAGGGTATTTGACTATGTCTATCAATCGAGAGATTATTGCTTTAAGTAGTCAACTACCAAGAGGTAGTAGTAAACTATTAAAGAGAAAAGATTTTCTCTTTCAAGTAGTAACCTATTTGAACTTGGTAGTTGACTACCTACTCCTGACAAGGTTGAAGCAATCAACCACCTAGTCATGTCAATTAACTACTTCATGAAGAACAAGAAGTTTCTTGAGTGTTTGAAGGCTCAACATCTCCTTTCTCTTCTAGTAAGCCTTTAACAATGTTGGGAATAAGGTCTATACATTTTTGAGAATGGTTTAATCTATTCCCAATT